ATCATTATTATATTATTATTATTATTATTATTATTATTATTATTATTATTATTATTACTATTGTTGTTGTTGCTTTAAGATTTTGAATGAAAATCACCATTTAATTATTGAATAGTATTATTTGATAATATTTAATAATATCAGTGAATAAAACAGGAATTCCAGAAATTTGCAACCTTCTCAGCTCCATTTGGAGTACACCTAATCATAATATTAATAGAGCAAAGGCACTGCTAAGGAAGCTAGACTAACAACAAAATGACACACTTACTTATTTGTAATTGAGAACCAATCAGGTCGAGGTACCGGCCATTGTACATGGCTATTGGTAGCTTGGTCAATTCCAATTAAAGTGTGATAGTTGCTGAAACTCTCAGGAATGTATAGATAGCCAGTAACTGGTCCAACCTTGGGTGAAAAAAATCAAACTTATTTATTTAACTTCCAGGTATTGATACAACAAAAACAATGCAATGAAAATACAATACCCTGAGGATTGCTATAAGTACACATACACTAAGCAGCTCTCAATATTGCATACTTTATATTAAAGCTAAACATAAGAACTACCTCAAGGTTCGATATTATTCAATAATTAAAATCAATTTTAACAAATAGTTTAATATATTATTCAGATAAACAAGTGGTAAGAATTAGTAAATATATCCTTAAAAAAACTCTTTACATTTGTGATTTGTCAAATTTTCTTACTTTTAAGAAAAATAAACTTAATTATTTCAGGATTGTTAACTATTTGTTAACAAAATGAAGTTGTAGATTCCTGCTGAAAAAATAAACCTACCTTGAAAATAACTTTCACTGGTACAACCACTGGTAAAAAATCTGAGAATGGAAGGACCAAGGAAACGTCCATCTGTTCCCCATTAAAAGCTATACAAGCTGATGAAGGAGAAAAAAAAAATTCAATCAAAAACTAATCACGATTTTGTTAAAAATAAAATTTTATTTCTAATTCAGTACTCAAGATATATTTTTTAATTGAATAACGGGGCTCATGGGGGGGGGAATGAAGGTGGCATATAAGGGGCTCAATGATTAAGTGAGGTGCACTTGGTTGCATGTGTGAGGTCTGAACATGAAATGAGACGCATCGTTGGTGAAATCATATTGAGATATTCACCAAAATTACAAAATTTTGATGTTTTTGAATAACTTGATACTTAAATTTTATGATTGTGTACTTTTTAAGTGAATTTTCTTACTAAAACAGTGTTCTCTTCGCATATTCTGTAATTCTAGTCCTATTATTTGTACAGGTTAGTTTATCTTTGAGGCCGATTTTCTCAAAACCTGGTTCTCATACACCTAAACTTCAAATTCTCACATCTCTGGATCTATTTATCCTAGGGAAGTCATTCAAAGACCAAATTAAAGCTTATAATGTGATCTAATGTAAATACTCAAAATGTAATAAAAACTCATTTTTTTGATTTTCTAACGATGAGACTCATTTTGTAGTAAGACCTGACATTTTCAATGGGGTGACTTGGGGGAGCAGGCTTTTTTTGGGGATGTGCGCACCACCACGCACCTCCTTTGATTTGCCACTGCATGTGAGACTACTGCTTCTGGTGCTGGCACTTACTATTATCAAGGTTAGGGGAGCTGCAGTCCATCCAGTTATATTCATTGCACATAAGGTTAAGTTCAAACTTGTTTAATGTGAAGTTGCAGTGCATAGTGTATGGCACAAACATCATTAAATCCTGTCCACCTTTGCTTGACCAGTCATGTAGTAGATCTAAAAAACAAAACAAAAATAGAATAGAAAAAATGTAAAATCATTAATAATAATAATAATGGCAGAGAATAATAGGAGGCCATGAGTGACAGATTGTGAAATTCTAAATAGAGGGTGTCCAGGGAGGGACTTTCAGAGATGGGGGGTTCACCCACCTCAGTGTCGCCATGGTTGGGGCTGGGGTAATTTATGATCATGGCAAAAGCCTCTAGATGGCTGGAAATGGGAAAAGTAGACCACGGAAAGTAGGTAATCATAAAGTCAAAACCTGGTGCTCGGGGTTTATTGGCTGGAATGCAATTCTCTCTTTCTTTGGTATTTAGGCTGGATTATGTAAGGCTGAAAGGGGAGGGGGGAGGGGGAGGGAGTCGCACAACAAGTGTGAATGCAGATAGTGTCTTGCAGGAACAAAATCAAACTTGCACAAAGTTGATAATCTAAGCAATACCTATTGCGCCAATTGTTGCTTCTCTATGGTACACTTGGAATGAAATGGTACTACTATGATTATTTTTATTATACCGACCTGCACAATTTTGATGCAATTTATTAAAATTTTTAAATATAAGTTGGGTAAAAAATGTCAAATCCTAGAGAGCGATGAAATTTTTACATACTAATAAGAAACGGTAGATAAGGCATCACAGGTAAAGACACCATTAAGCCATGCGTCCATACTCACCTGTTAAGAACACCTTGTGCTGGTAGATAAGGTGTACTAATGTACGACTGAAATCCAGGTTTATATTCCAATTCTGATGATGGTTCCAAACTAAAGGGTGTTCAACTACAACAGAATACTGTAAAGAAAAAAACAATAGTATAAAACAATAAGTGAAACATTCATAATTAATGTTTATTTAACTTAAAATATATTGTATTTAATTATTTGTATTCTTCTTTCAAGATAGAAGAAACAAATGTGAAATACTCATTCTTACAAATTAATGCTCCCCTAAGGGTCCCCTTGTGTCATGCAGCTACCAAGGTGCCGTCTAGTCCTCAACGACAGGGGCTGTGAGATGAACTAGTACACCAGGGTAACACCCTACTAGGCCTTAAAAGATGTGCTGGGTTCTTTATACACAGGGCCTATGGTTTATAGTTTTTATCCAAGTAGACTTGTTTCACCATTAGAATTATAAGTAAGCGTTCCACTCGAATAAGTGCATAATTATTATTATCACTATTAATATCTGGCTATATGCTTCATAGTTATCATCTTCATTGAAAATTATCAAAAGGCTCTAACCGCTAGTGTTTCAGTTTCTATAAAACGGCTGAATGCAAGACTAGTAGTAGCCTCAATGTTGAAGAATTGACCTTTGACCTCCATTTTGTAACCATTAGCTCCTACTGTCATTGGGATTGATGTCTCCAGGTATGAGCCTTTACCAGCACTAATATGAATTGCATCTGTTTCCTGTGATCAAAATTAGCAAAATAAATAATTGAAATGATGAGCGGTTGGCAGCAGTGGGGGAATCAGCTGGGAGAATTTGTCCTCCCTCCCCCACCTCCATCACGCCCTATATTGTGACAAAAGGAAATATAAAAAAATCATGGAGTTGTTACTTACTGAATCTGTGGTAAATAGAATATCTAATGTGTTTTCATCCAGCATGTTGAGACAAAAATCAAATGATTCCGGCCTTCTTTTATCCCCAACTTTCAGTTGAGGTGTCTCTTCTAGCACCTTATAGTCCGCTGGGTAAAATAGCTTTTGAAGAAAGTCTCTGAAAGAATATTTACCATTTATATAAGACACATTAGCATAATCTAGTTCCAAGATAGAAAAAAAAAATAATACACTTAATGAAATAATTATCACACATTTGTACATTACATTATTTGTCAAAATGCACATTAATACTGTAGAACAATAAATGATCGAAATTAATTCAATGTGAACACAGATTAATTATTAATCTGTGTTCACACTAAATAAGTTTTGACTAAGGTCAAAAGATAAATAATTTACAGTGCAAAAATGTATGTATATCCAGTATATTTCTTTGCATACAGACCATTAAAAGGCTATAACTAAAATGCCAACCCTTTCTTTCATAAAATTTAGGTCAGTTGGGCATGACCAAAACAATTTTTTTTTTGGCCTAAAAGGTCTGTTAAAATAAGCTGTAATATAATTGTTTTTAAATGTTATTGTTATTGTTGATAATGTATGTTGCATGTTTTAAGTGATGACTATTTGGTGTTCCAGACAGATGGTATAACTTCAAGGGAAGCATGAAGTTGAGAGTGCAACAGGAATATGGGAGGATTAGAAAGTCATGGCTGAAACAAGATCTCTGGGCAATGGGGCTCTATCTTCTTAATAAGGAGCTAACTTTAGACTTGAAGGCTATATGCTTCTCCAGCTCAGTTGGTATGTCCGTCGGCCGACAATTCCAACTTGGCTCCAATTTTAAAAGAAAATAACATTGGCCGTATTCGACCGGTCGTTCTTCATTAAACCACGCCCATCTGCGCAGTGCTAAAATCCTGCTTAAATAAGACGACCAGTCGAAAAGAAAACTCGTAAATACTTAACAAACCAAAATGGCTGCATATATACGTACTGCGTAATCAAGGTTGCTTGTGGCAGTATGGGTTTTTCATAATAAAAATGTTTCCATCCAGTTTTTGAATTCTGTTAGCCTACAATTATTTTTTGACTTCATGTGGTTAAAATATTATAATTTTATTTTAATCTAAATTATATTATGCAAATCTGCCATGTTTGTTCTGGTCACGTGGATAACTTAACGCTGATGAACACTCTGGTTTATGTTAATTTTCGTTGTCAACAAGTATATTTTATGAACCAGTCAAATGAAAATAATACTCAACAAAAAATTGTAGTCAAAAGTCGAAATGAACCAGTCAAATAAGCCCATTGAATATAAAATAATAATTATTATTTAATACTTTTTTCTATAACTTTACACATAGCCATTCAAATGTTGTATTGCCTTTACCAGAGTGAGTAAAGAGCATTAGAAAGGAATAATCTTGAATTATACAAAATGCAACAACACTGGGTTCATTTGGCATACGATTAATATATTATTTTTGATTATTTTTAGCAATTTATATCAAACTTCTTGTCATCAAATGTATAAATTTTTTATTGTATTTCAATGCATGGCCACAGGTAAGAACAACACGCTGTGTTAGCAGGAAAACATTAAAATCCTGTTCCTATTTTAATGCATCCTGGATTTGTATTCGGCACTCCTATGAAGTGCGCTACAATCCAGGATGCAACCTAACAAAGAAAATCAGTTTGATGAAATAGAAAGATCAATAATTACTGGAAACAAAAACATACATATGTTCTTCTGAACAATAATGTAGCTTTTAGTTCTATACATCGATCAAATCTTTCAGTTACTTTGCTAATGTCTTTTTTTTAGTTTAAGACTGACGTCAACACTTTACTGAATTGCACACCAAGTAAAATTACGACTAAAACAGAAATAATATAATTATAAATACAATGATTATTTTTTACTTTTGTTATCAATAATATATATTTAGTATAGAGTAGTTATTTGATTCTTTCTGTTTTGTTTTTGTTTTTGTTTTTGTTTATTTTTTTTGTATTGTTTCATAAACTAAAAGCTGGAGACTGTTTGAATAGGCAACAACATGCCCTCTCCCTCATTTACCTCCTAAATTTCATTTTCTTTTTTACATGGAGGAAAAAGGAAAAATATTTAAAATTAAGTCTAGGAGTGCCATCTTACCATCTAGAGGTTCCACAGCCATATCTTTTTCTTTCCTTGAACATATCTATTTCAGATTGTTTCCTCATTCCTTCCATTGTATTGCTCATTAAACTGGTAACTATCCAGTGAAGGATAGTATTCACTGTCACTGTGTATATTATATAAATTTATTGTGTACTGCCACTTAATTCTGTCTGTAGTTTAAATTTGGAGAGGGGATGAGCTGTTCAGTGCATCTGCCTTTCTGTTTTTATTATTGTAGGAATAGGAATTTAGTTCAGTATAATGTTATTTCATAGGGTCTAATATTAAATACCATACCTTTGCCTGTCAGCCCTGAGTCCATAGCTGATTATAGTAGCTTTAAAAGAGAGTGTGCAACTCCCATAGAGCCTATCAATCATACATTTGCCAGTCAGCCCAGGATCCAGCTGATTTAGCTTTGCAGAGAGTATGCTCCACCCATAGAACCATATCAATATCATACTTGCCTGTCAGTAAAGGGTCCATAGCTGATTGTAGTAGCTTAACAAGGGATATGCTACCCCAATTGAGCCTAACAAAACTATACCTTGGACGGTCAGCCCAGGATCCATAGCTGAATATATCTTTGCAGGCTGTACTATTAGGCCTAAACAATATCATACCTTTGCCTGTCTGCCCAGGGTCCACAGCTGATTGTAGTAGCTTAACAGGGGATATGCTACCCCAATTGGGCCTAACAAAACTATACCTTGGACGGTCAGCCCAGGATCCATAGCTGAATATATCTTTCCAGGCTGTACTACTTCCATTGGCCTAAACAATATCATACCTTTGCCTGTCTGCCCATGGTCCATAGCTGATTGTCGTAGCTTTACCGCATGTCAAATGCATTGCCCATGCTGGTGGTGGCTCATTTTCCTGACCTTCTTTCACAAAACCTAAGCAGATTAGCATTAAAAAAAAAGACAATGTAAATATTTAAACACATAGTATGATTGGGAAGAGGGACCACTTTGAGTGGATTTGAATAGCTTGGTATGGTAGGATAAGATGATTGCTTTCCAACCCCAGGGTCCTGGGTTAAAATCCTGTCAGATTGCAGAATTCTTTCCTTGTAACACACCACTCCACAACCCTCATAAGGCCGATATAAAAAAAATCAAAAAATCTTGTGTTGGCCACGTTTTGGGAAAATCCCCCCAAAAAAAATTTGTAGGTCGGTAGGAAAAGTGTTTTTTTTTTTTAAACCAAAATGCCTAAAAAGTAGAAAATACAAAAAACAAAATACAACAATGACCATATTTAAATCTATATTGGAGAGGAAAATGAACACTGTCGAATCTGCCTACTGTCCAGCAAGAAAGGTCTATGCCAGTCTTTTTAGCTCACTAAAAAATTATATTTTGTTGCAGTCAAAAAAATAAATAAATAAATAACATGCCGAACCTCAATTTCGTACATTTTGGGTCGGTCGGGCATGGCCAACACAATATTTTTATTTGGCCTTATGACAGTTTGTAATTTCTTTAAAAATATATTTTGTTGATATCCATTTAATACAGTAGTGCTTTGAAATTTATAACACAGTAGCTACAATCTACAGGAAGTCCTTGTAATCTACTTCAGTTACAGATTTTACTGGATAATACTATTTGTATACAGTGCATATCGTACTACAGTGGTATGTCAATAGTTAAAGTTTATTATATATACAATACATACTAGACATAATAATATTATGTAATACGGACTGGAATAATATTATATACTGTAACAGTAAATGCGGAGAATAGCTTGGAGGTTAAGATGCTTGCCTTCCAATCCCTGGGCCCTGGGTTCAATTCCTGTCACAGTAAAAGAATATTTTTTCACGAAAAAAAAAACAACTCCACTCCCTAAAACAATTAAGTTTCACAGATAATTATAATTTATTATTAAAGCTGTTGTTATTGGCAAAAAAAAAATGTCCTTGTTTCAACTTTATATTGAAAGCTACAGTACTATCCAATAGTCTGGTTTGCATAAAAATCGCTTCACGCCATCGCCAACTCCTCTGACAATGCTGATTGGTCAATTGAATAAGGCAGCGCTCGCAAATGTGTCAGTGACACCTACGCAGTGCAAGGATTGTAGTGAAAAAAACGCTGTAGCAACTGTGTAGCAATTGTATGGAAACTAGGCTTTATCAATGCAAAGTACACAATTAAAACATTCCATTCAGAGCCTTGTGGATAGAAGGCTCTCTACAAATATTCTTCCATTACCATTTTCACCACTGCATTATATTTGTATAGGTTATCAAAAACATGTACGTGTACTGTTTTAAATGTTTCAAATTATTTTTAAGATAAAGTGGGCTGTTCCTACCTGGCTCATCAAAGAAATAATGTATATCAAAATTGTTAGACTGCAAGACCACAAATCCCTCGCCCATAAAACGTGGTGGACTGCAAATAGAAAATAGTATGCATTAACACGTTCGCTGCCAGAGACGAGTATACTCGTTCCACAAGGTGTTGCTGAGGGCGCTGGGGACGATTATACTCGTTAAAATCGGGGTAACATTCTTTGTTATACATTGTAGAACTACAGACTTAACGGCTGGTAGTTCAGGGAAGACACACCTAGATGTTAACGTACAAATAACGTATATGTGTTTGTTGTGTTATGTTGTCGGCAGTACACTTGATTGCACGAGTCTGAACATATACCAACACTTGGAAAAAGCGAACAAAAAAACTTGCACTGTTCTGTCCAAGTGCCAGCGACGAGTTCACTCGTGCTCTAATATTTTCCCGCCAATTTATTCAACACACCATTTTGATAATATTATTATAAAATTTTAAAATTTATGTTTGTACATGTAAAATTGTTTTAGCACACGAGAAGGAACCTAAAAAAAGGTCTAGCAGTAAACATGTTAACAATTGTATGTACGTAATTTATGCCTATATGCTTTTGTACATTACAAAAATTTATGTTAGTTTTACATAAACCTCATGAAAAGATAAAAAAATGAAAGTTCAAGAATTATATTATTTGATACATACAAAAATGATGGACAGTGTAAAAAAAAAATAATACAAAATAGGAGCGTAAGCTTTAATATCAAACTACAAAAAAAAAAATTCAGGAAAAACACACATGACTAGCAGTGGGTAGTTACCTGTCTCTAGAAGAAAGTGCAATTGTTATATAGTACACATTAAATTTTAAATAATTATGTAAAATTGTGAAGAATCACCAATCTCGATATCAATAACTGATTGCAATTTAGCACTTCATATGTCTGGATAACAGCTTACAAAATATGCACTCACTGCTATCTGGTGGTAGCCACTGTGTGTGTGCTTAACCGTGGAGATCTCTAGGTCCCCGGTTCAATTCCCATCGCTGCCTCTAATTGTGTTTCAGCTAGAGGGCTGAAATGCAAGTTACAATAGTGCACCGTCTTTCGGATGAGAAGTTTAAGCCGTTGGTCTCGTGTGCATTTATGGCCCCTCTGCACATTAAAGAACGCAGTACACTCTTTGGAAAAAAGTAGGGGATTGTCTCCTGGTGTACTGCCAAATCACCACCAGAAGGACCCCACTGGAAATAAGACCTTGGTATTTACACCAAATAAATCCTATCCAATCCAATCAATTTAGTCACGGATAGACAGACAATGTGGATAATGTACCACGCCAAAGAAATAAGTGATCTGTCTCATACTCGAACCAATTATCTTTCATTGAGATGGAAGCCCACATCATTATCATGGCACCACTAAATATATTGGTTTTGTTTTTTTGGTTTTTTTTTGTTTTTTTGTTTTTTTTTTCAGCTAGCAAAGGTACTATAACTTGCTAATGAATTAATTTATATACACTGTCTGATGGTTTATAAACTTGTTCAAATTCAATTCTTTATTTGTTTATATTACGAAAAATTCCTATGATTTTGAGATATTTAAAATCCACTAGTCTAAAGATTCAAGTATGACTTTAGCCAGAAAGCCACAACTTTCATTTCTTAATCCATGAGACAATGGACTATTTACTTACTCAACTTGCTCTCCCTCAAACTTTGGACTGGGCGAAAACATAACTTTCAGGCCTTCTCCTTTACACTTGATATCATGGGAGAACTCATCATGTGGAACTGAAGCAGCTTTGGTTGTGTACACAAAGTGCGTCTCCTCTGCTCCTATCCGAAGCACCGTAGGCGTAAGCTGGTTACCAAAAACAATATGGCCCTGAAAATAATAAAGGTTAGATATTACTATTGTTGTCATTATACAGTATTCTACTATTTATTTTTAAAACACACAAATGGGCGAGTGGTGGTAGTGATGTTGGTTGTGATGTTAGTGATGATGGTTGTGGTTGCAGTGACGGTGGTTGTGGCGATGGAATACCAGCAGTAGTAACAACTTCACCGCACTTCAAAACAAGTCAACTATGAACTACTGTATGTATAAGAAGTAACAAAGTGCGTCTCTTCACATTAAATTTTAAAGTCTAGAAGAAGCCTTTGAGAGAGCAGCTTAGCTCAGTCGGCTAATCTGGTGGTACTCTTCAGAAAAGAGTAGGGGATTGTCTCCCGGTGTACTGCCCAATCACCACCAGAAGTACCCCACTGGAAATAAGTCGTCTTCTAGACTTTCATGGGCTATCCTTGGTGTTTACACCGAATAAATCCAATCCAAGTAAAGGTTTAGTAGTAGAGACCATGGTGATATATAACATGTAATCAAGAATACATGAATTAATACTTCTTTGCATTAAACGATTGTCTTACTGTAAATATGTCAACTTTTATCACACGAAAAAAGTCCCTCCATAATCCTTCTTGCTTGGTAGAATTCAATTCTGATGAGGAACTACTGTAAAAAACAAAGAAAACAAATATGAAAATGGGAGCACTTTGTTTCAACTAACACATTTACTTATTCTTACAATGAACATACTCGGAATAATGAGGTAGACTACAGTATGATTCCATGTTTAAGCATTTATTGGATCATCTTTGGAATGAGGAAACACTGACAGTGATTACAAAAAAATGTTATACTATGCAAATGAGGGGATTTTACAAAGCTAGTATACAGTATAAACAATAGAGATTATGAGAGTTGGGATAGATTAAAAGCAGATAAGCAGTTCCAACAACCCTCTTGTTGCTTTCAGAACAGTTTACATTTAGGTTTTGGGCAATGAATAGCAAGAGCTTCCTTAAATAGCAAATGCGACCAGAGTTTGGTGAACTATCATTTATTTTAGTGTTAGAATATAATTATTTGGGATTTGCAATTAACAAGGAAATTGTCCTTGTGTTTGGCAAATTGTAAAGTCTTAAAATATATTTTAAGACTTTACAATTGGCCTAACACAAAGACAATATCCTTGTTAAGCAAATTGTAAAGTCTTGAAATATATTGAAAATCTTCAAAAGACTCACCATGATTGCGAATTACACTGTTAAGAGATATGTTCTAATAATTCACTTTTTAGGAGTGAGCTTTCACAAACTGGCTCCTTCTAAAGCAATCAATTATCCATTGTGTAGAATCTTGCATAATACTGTTAAACAGTACAGCTTACTGAATAATGAAACTTGATAATGCAACATTTATTTGACATAAATTTTAATGTTTATTAACAGCAAACAAAACTGTTCCTGGGAAATTAATAAATTACCACCAAAGATCTATATAATAACAAGATAGAGGACTTCAATTTTTCCACGCAAATTCTGTAACAAATGCAGTGTAGCAGGCCATTTCGCAAAAACAATTTTCAACTCATGAACCATCTTATAAACTATAGCACATCTCACGATTTCTCTGGGCAAATTCTATAACAAACATAGTAACAACTAGGACGCCCTCTCTAAAAAACCATTATTTTTATGCTTCTTTGTACTGTATGTTGACACTTCTATTTGTTAATTGTAAAATCGCAGAGACCATTTGTTATTATAAGATCTTTGATTACCACAATTCTTGCATTTTATTGGTTATGACTCACCTACTAATTTTAATTGTATCGTCATTTGGATTATCAACATTAAGACCAAATAAGTACTCTAGGTTTGCATAGAGGGTTGAGCGATTATAACAGTGAAGTTCAAATCCATTAAGTAATATGTTCAGGCGTGTAGAATGGGAACCATCTGAAACTAAAACAAAGGGATTTTAAAATTGCCGCAAAGGAACTCAGAAATTTAGGTCAGAAATATATATTTTTACATGGATGAGGCATATTGTGGCAAAATAGCTAAAGTTATAGACAGTGTACTTGGGTATGTATTCTTGAAAATTTCAAAATTAAGGGGCTCATTCATATTTTACATTTCAAGCCTTAATTACAAGTAAAATACAGCAAATTAGAGTCTCTAGATCAAGATAACATGCTCTTTCTGTGCAGACACTGTTTAGTGAAATTAACTAAAATTACGTGAAATAAATAGTTTGTTAACCATTTCTAAAACTAAAGACTTTAGTACATGATTAATCAGACATTAAACTTTCAATTTTATATGGTGCAAAAACATTGTTGATTTTTATGTCATTCTGAGCTCTCATATATTTTATACTCATTTCCATATTACTGGTCTGTGCAACAACTAGCCATTTTGCTTCGTATTTTTTATTTTTTTGATATAATATAATCATGAAAAAATAAACAGGCAATCAAAACCAAAATTAAAATGTACAGAGTTAATATTACCAGGATATAATCCTCTATACAGAGAATTCATTCCCTGGGAGGTTAAAAACAAACTAATAGAGTTTCACATTTACTGGGTCATTTTCTGAAATAGGAAAATTACATACAACATGAGACAATAATAATAAACTTGCTGTAATAGGGATGCAACTTTTAAATATAGTACAAATAAACAATGGTAGGTAGGTTGAATATGCAACAGAATGTGTTTAAGGAAGAAAAAAGTTAAATCTCCTTGAATGAATTTACTAAATCAAATTAAATAAATAGAAATTCTACAATCTCTACACAAAATGGAACCAGTTTGTTGAACAATCACATGTTTTTGGATTTAAAGGATTTAAAATTAAATATTGTAATTCAAAATGCTTATTGTTACAGATGGACACTTTTCCAAAACTTTCAATTTTAATTCTCCAAAAACATTTTATGCCACTCTTAGAGTCTTACCTGGTTGACTATGTATTATATGGAAGAATAGTGGACACTCTATCTTACAAAAAAAATTTGTGCGGATTGATATTGTTACTAAAAATAGAACAGCGAAAATGTGAGTGTTACGGACGGACAAGATAGAATTAGCTGTTTCTAATTTTTACAACTTAGCAGAAATTTCTATCTAGCCGGGAAGCAAGAGCTGAAAAAAAATTTTCATTGTTAAAGTAAGTTATTTTACTTGTCTATTAGTGAGACTAAATATGGTTACTAAATACTTCCTTGACTTTGAGTTATTAATGAAAAGAAAATGTTATGGACGGACATTTTTGTTGTGTTACGGTTGCAACAAATGTTCTAATGATAAATATTAATGATAAAATTAGATTTTTAAAATGATAATTCACTTTTCTTAAATTTAGGATTATAGCAGCCTCTCTAATGATGATTGTTTGTAAAATATTTTATGTTCAAGCAGTTGTAGAGTACATAAACTGATATTCATTATAACCTACAGTAGGCCCTATATAATTGCAATAATTTTAGAGAAAATAAGTTATTAAACTATAAGTAATATCTTGAATTAATAAAACTTTATATTTTCATAAATAAGTTGATTAAATTGCTACCTTTGAACATTTTTTTATTAATTTTGTAATTATAATTATATTGGAGATAGGTAATAATCTTTTTTTAGTTGTAATCTATTGTATAGAAACATTGATTGCTGTTGAGTGTCAGATTTTATAATATAGGTCATACAAATGTTGAATCCTGCAGTATAGAAATAAAAAGATGTACAGCCTGCTGTGTGTAAAGTGCTTTTGGTTCAGCCAACATCTACAAACCACTTGAACAAAGTCCAGTGTTTTGACCAATAAGTTGTGATAAGTTCACAAGGGGTGCATAGTATGGAATCATTAATAATAATTAAATCAATATATCAACCAATTATGACATCAATTGATTTGTGAACTAAATTCAATTAATCAAAGAGACATTTTTATAGTTATGAAATTGATATAATAACATTTCTTAAATTTAGTAAAGTTAATTCTATTTTTATAGTATACTAAGACTCAAGCACCCTAGCAATATTTCCTTATAATTTTATTACTATTATTATCTTTATTGTTATTGTGGACTCTCAAAACTATCAAGATATATAGTACATAAAGTAAAGTAATTCTAAGTTTTTTTGCAAACTCTAGATATTTCAAGTCCAACGTCTTACCACTGTGATACAATGTTTTACAAATTGTGGCAAAGACAAGCCAAACCAGTCACTCGTCGCAAATCGTGTTTCCGAGAAAATGGCTAAAACATGCTGGAATGTCAAAGTTTTAAAAATCTATTTTATTGCACTAAACTAATCTTTATATATCTACACATTATTCTATGCTGTTATTTTCACCATTTCCAATATTAAAACAATACTTTTTAAGGATTTAAAGATAGTTTCTGCATGAGAAATGCCTGAAATCATAAACTTTGACAGTTAATTTCTCATATATTGTTCTTTAAACAGCTGTGTGGTTAAACGCTTGTAACTCCATAAGGAAATGTCAGATTTGAATGATTTTTTTACCATTTTATAGCTATTATTTTACTTTCTAACACTGTATTAATAACTCAAAATCAATTTTTGCGACGAGTGACTAGTTTGGCTTGTCTTTGACAAAATTGTTAATACAAAATACATGCATAATAAAGACAAAACTAACTAACTAACTACAAAATACATGGTTTTGTATGTTAGTGTTGTCCAACCATAATAGAAAATAATCAATATAAACAAATCAATCAACCACCAGTGAGTTATTGTAATTATTTTATGTTGTGGCATATTCTTAAAGTTAATGATTTAGCGAACTGCATCAAGGGATAGGCAATAGTAGTGATATAACATAACAATACGGAAATAGACGAAAATGCTACAAAAATTTATCATGGATTAGACCCATAAATAAATACTGTAGGTCTAAAGTCCAAAACAAATGACATTTCCTTTAGGATCTTTGGTTTACACTGTCCCTACACAACTTGTATTTGTCAGATTACTGAAATTGAATTTCCTTGTTGCAGTATTAAATTTTCAAAAATATTTAAACAAATAGATATCAACAATAACAATAATTTTAACTATAAAATACTAATTATAAAGTTAACTATTATAGATATTTATTGCTGCGAAGCAGTCAATTCATATTCTTGACAGCAATTTGACCTCTGAAAGGTCATTGTTTTTCAAAAAACAAGGGCCTAAGATGACTGAAAAGTTTCCTTCTCTCGTTCTGCCGGGTAAAATCAATTACTTTAGGCGACGCTTGTAGACTAACCAACACGTACCAACGTCGCTCTAGCCTTATCCTACTCTAAGCCTAGACTAGCTAGGATGGAATAGGCCTAGCTTTGAATGGACGAAGGTCCCAATGAAAAACAATGTCGCTCCTTGATAGAACATTGTCTATTTAACATCACAATAATTCATTATTAGACCTATAGTTGTTTTTTGAATTGTACTCCACAGATCTCAGCCGATACCTCGCACAACTCGTGTAACGTCTCGTATCTATTGTCGTGACGTCATGGCTCGCTGGCTCACACTTGCGATGTCTCTTTGGTAATCAACTACATTTTCCACATATATAGAAATTTTTGAAACTTTATAAAAAAAAACCTAAACCATAATTCACCACTATAGACACTTTTTGACAAAAATGAAAAATTACGACTATGTTACCCAATGAGAAGTGTTAGACAATGGGTCGTGTCTCATATTACATTATATTTTTATTATTCATTATTTTCACTTGACTCGCATAAATAATTTTGTTCGAAGAACATTTATATGCAGTTGTACTTCGCAGCACTTCACTTGCAATTTGCAATTTCTAGTTACAACATTATTAATTAAAACATTAGTATTTTAATTCATGATACAGCTCAATAAGTATAGTACATTTAAAAAAAAAAGAAGCATGAAATGGATAATTATAATAGAACATCCATATGTCTCTTCAATTATCTCTAAAGAGCTGAAATTATAATTATCAACACATCATTTTATAAGTCATTTCTCTTGCATTAATAGAACTAGGCATTTAATTTAAATGCATTCTGTTGGAACGTGCATATTTCTTTGATTGTGCATTTGAGAGGAGACACTCTAACCTTAAATCTAAAGATAAGCAAAATTCATGTTACAATAGCTGGTAAAAAATATATACTTCTTGTTAATTGAAAAAACAGACAAGATCCCGCCACCAACCTGGGAACTTACAAAAGATGAAATACCCTGCTATGCTACAGTGCCCTGTATTTTCTTTTCTGATATCGGGTGTTATTCCATATTTTTATTTTGGCAAAATGTTGCGTACAGTACAATAAAATAAATAATAATAATAATAATAATAATAGATGGACTTATATAGTGAAAATAAACGAGGTCTGTATGCGCTTGACAATATTGTAGTCAAGAAAACAGAGAAAAAAAGCAGAGAAAAAAAAAAACAACACCAAGCTAGCACCCAAACCGAAGTATGGGGTTACACCATCACCGCCAACCGGAGATCTGTGTTTACAGTATGTACTCCGGTTAGCATCGGAGTCTTTTCTGGAATATTAGTATTTGTGTTGGTATGAACTTCAAATCTTAATGAGAAATAAAATATGATGATGATAATAATTACTGAAGAAAAAATAAATTATGAACGTCAATTGTTTTTGTTTTTTTGGTTTTTTTTTGTTTTTTTTTTTTAATTTGCATATTCAACATATTTTTGAAATGTTTGTATTTATTTGAATCACTGTAAGTTGTAATTTCTACCAGCAATTCAGCAGTTTTGCTGCCATTTTAAGGCGTTCAATAAATCTTATCTTATCTAATCTTATCTAACCAGGTTGTAAATTTTATTAGTAAAAATTTTGAGATCAAATAGGAATGAATCTGTAATCTCTACACAAAGATTATTTATAACAACAGTACTTAGTTATTTCCAAGTGTTTACATTTTCAAATCAACTACAAATC